CTACTTGTTTAATTAGAAGGATTGTGGAGATTTTGGATTGCCTTCTTGACACTAAATTGTTGTCTTTCTATCTTTTGAATGCTAATCTCATTGAGCTCCCAGGGCCAATTACTGTTTGAATTGACTCTACCCTTGAACCTGGCCCGGGCAGTAACATAGAGTTTCCATCTGTCTGGCCAGCCCTTAGTTTTGCATGGTGATTGTGAGAGGGTGGCTGAGATCTGAATACCTCTTTTTCTAGCAAGTTCTTGTTCTAAGATGTTTCTTTTGGCTGTTGTCCAGAAGGTGTTGCTAGAGAGAAGTTTAAGCCACACTAAGAGCAGTCTAACATCTAACATGTCCTTGAGTACCGGTGCTGCTAGGCCTCCTAGCTTGTAGCTACGTTGGAAGACTGAGAGTTGAGATAGCATTCTAGAGTTATTTTTGATCCACTTTGTGATCAGTGTGTTGATTTCATTTAGTTGTTTTCTTGTTGAAGGGAGTAAGTAGGCTAGATACCAGATTTTTGAGATTAGTAGTATTTTTGTGACAAGAATTTTCTCTTTAAGTAAGAGGTTTCTTTGTGCTAGATCTTGTATTTTGTTCTTAATTGTTTTTATTATATCAGTCCATAGGGCCTTGTTTGGATTTTCATTTACATCTATCTTGTATCCAAGAACTGTGAATGAGACCTGGCTATTGTGTATGATGTTAAAGTTTTCTTGTTCCGATAATTCCACTCTTTGAGCATTTTCTGTAAGAGGGATTAGAAAAGAGTTGGTTTTGTTAATTTTGGCATTTGAAGCCTATTCGTAATTCAGAAGGATTTCATTTGTTTTGTCCCAGTCTGAGGGTAAGCCAATTTCTATTGTTAGATCATCTGTATATGCTGCAATTTTAAAGGGAATGCTATGCACTGGTATGCCTCTGATGTTGTTGCTTATTGTCTGTACTAGAGGGTTGATTGCTATGACGTATAGTAGGGGTGATAGAGGGTCTCCTTGCCTGACTTCTCTGTCTACTTTAAAAGCTTCTAAGATATATCTCGAGTCCATGATATGAGCACTTTGTGTAGAAAATAGGGCTTTGACAATCTTGGTAAATTTCAGATCAAAATTTATTTTCTCAAGTATCATTTGTATAAAGTCATAACTGACATAGTCAAATGCCTTTTGCTAGTCAAGTAGAAGGATCCAGTGCTGTTTGGTCTGGTCATCTTGGTTTCTAAGTATTGTAATAATGTCTAGTGCTGTGTCTGTGATTGATCTTCCTGAGATGAATGCTTGTTGGGCTGGTCCGATAATTTTGTTGCAGATTGGGCTGACTTGGGTAGTTAGAATCTTCATAAAGATTTTTGCATCAGAGTTTACTAGGGATATTGGCCTCCAATTGTTTATACTAGAGAGATTATCTGCCTTTTTGGGTATAAGGATAATAAGGCTTTTGCTCCAGAAGTCTGGAATCTGGCCTGAGTTTAGAATATAGTTGAACAGTTTGGTTAGCACTGATACTATAATTTCTTTGGTATCTTTGTAGAATTTATATGTGAGACTATCTGTTCCTGGTAACTTGTTGATAGAAAGACTCTCAATTGTCAGTTTGACTTCTTCCTTATCTATTGTGAAAGTTAGAAAAGTGTTTTGATCTGCTGTGACCTGTTTGAGATCTTTAATGAGTTGAGAAGCTATGCTTCTGTTAATCTCTTCCTTCTTGTAAATGTTTTGATATATGTTGTGTATATAGTCTATAGTTTGCTCCTGTGAGTTGTTATTGGGGTTATTTGGGTTGTGTATTTTGGAGCAGCCTGTTGTCAAGTGTCTTGATTTGTATAGTATTTAGTAGATTTTTCATCTTCTTCAATCCATTTGGCATTTGATCTCAGCTGCCACTTGCTAGATAAAGAGCTTAGTTCTTTTTGTAATTTTAAATTTAGGTCTTTAGTTATGAGTTTTAGCTCCTCCAAACTTGGGTTTTTGGCTATTTTGTTGTTTAGCTTTTTATAGATTTTTTGAATTGTTTTTTTTAGGACTGAACAAGGTTTAAAAGCTTTTATTATCAATTGAATAGTGCATTTATGAAAGTCTTAGAGAAAGAGATCTTGGATATATTGTATTTCCTGAATAATATCTCTTTTAAGATCTGGGTTGTCCCAACTTTTCCTGTCAAATCTCCAGAGTAGGGTTCGAGGCATAGGTAAAAAATTGGGCATGCCTTTGAGGGTATGCTTTGAGTTATGGCATGCCCCTCGTGCCTATAGACATGCCCTTCCTATATAGAAAACTAGTGCTTTGTAAATGTTTAATGTAAAAAAATTCTGTTGCTAGAATTATAGTAATTTATTATAAATTAGTGTAAAAATTTTTCTAGTGATACATAGTATATAGTTGATTAAAGTATGTAGTTAATAAAGTTGTTAGAAATATCATGATTTTCTATCATGAATTACTGTAAAAAATTCTTGCTACATGACATGCTGGCCAATCAGATATGACACACATATCACATAACTAGGACATGCCTAACGGCCAAGTGGCATGCCTATAGGCATGCCCCCAAGGCATGCCCAAAAGGCATGCCCATGCCCCTGTGCCTCGAACCCTACTCCAAGAGTGACATATAGCTGTGGCTTGGTTTTAGACATAACTCGCTTTCAACTAGTAGATGGTCTGAGTTGCCAAAGCGAGTGCAAGTGTTGTTGCACATGTGACTGTAATCTGTATTGATAAATATAGTCTAGGTGAGTAGCTATTCTTTGATTTCCTCTTGTAGATTGATAAAAGGTAAGAAAGAGTTTTTCGGATGACATAATAGCTGTGTCTGTGTAATCTTGCAGTAGTTCTAAAATCAGACCTCTTGATAGGTCTTGTTGTGCTGTCGCTTGACTTATTTTGTTTATTTCAGGATTCAAGTTTGTATTAAAATCGCCTACTATAATATTTATTCTGTTTTGGGAGTTCAGCTTTTGAAGAATTCAACTCTGTCCACTGGGTTTGGTGTTGCATATATATTTGTAATATAAAAAGCTTGCTGTCTGATAATTGTATTAGTTGAAATCACTCTCAAGAAGCTTAATGTTTTTTTTGCCAGCAATATGGCTATTCTTGCGGACTATAAAGAATCATAACCCCATTGCTTAGATAGGAAACTTCTTATTTTAGGATCTTTTAGGTTGGTTTCTTGTAGAATTATTATGTCCAACTTGTAAGATTTAAGTAATGTGAGAGTTTTTTGAGCTTTGAACCTATCATTTAGGCCCTTGACATTTAGTGTAGCAATTTTAATCATTGATTAAGGTTTGTTTAAGAGTAAGGCTACACTAAAAGATTTGTCTTATTGGTAATTTTTTAGAACAGGGTTGCCCTGTTGTCCAATGTTTATCTCTCTATATAGGTGATATGCTTTTGATTGTTCTTTTTTTTTGTTCTTTGCTCTTTGTTTTTTAGAGATGACCAAGATGAAAGGAGTATCCTCTTTGGCTTGTTGTTTTGTATTGGCCTGGTCTCGGGTATCAAGTAGGTCTGTTTCTATTTTGGAGTATTGTTTTGCTATTGTATTGTTTGCAGATAGTGGCTCTTGTGTGATTTCTTCCTTGTTTTGAGATGAGTTGTTTGTTGTTAGTTCAGGAGTGGAGTCAAAAGATCTTTCTACTTGAGCCCACTCTGCTGAGCAGTCAAGATAGAGGTTGTTTTGACTGATAATAGGTTCTAGAGCAGCTAATTTTTGGTTCTTGATCTTTTCTCGATATAGTTTAGCTATCTTTAGCATAACTCTTGCCTCTTTAGAGGCCTTTAACTCTTCGCAGTCTTTTTTATTATAACCTTCCTTTTCACAGTAATAGCAAATTTTTGGAGCTTCTTTTTATTCTGTAGTTACTTTATGATCTCTGATATGCATAGTTCTTGGGATTCTTTTGGTTAAATCTGGATCATCAGTAGTTTCAAAAGTAATCAACTATTGATTTGAGCAGACGGTGATTCCTTCAAAAAGTAGTGGTTTGATTGAGGCTACTTGGCCTAGTCTTGGAAGGCATCTAGAATAAGATTACTTATTTGTTTTGTATCTCCTATTAGGGTATTTCTTAGTTTTACTATAAGGAATGTGTGTCTTAAGTTGACTGGAATATAGCCAAAGAGTGTTTGTTTGAATAATGTGATGCCTTTTGCTGTGTTTAGTTGAACTTTTTCTTTGCTTTTGAGGACCACCTTGAGAGCTGATCTTTTCCCTCTAGATATATGAGTTTTGGCTACTAGCAAGTCTTCTCCAATGCTCATGGCTAGAGCTACGATTATGTTATTTGTTGGTATATTGATTAGGTTATGGATGTCCAGGATCAGAGCATTCTCATTCTTGGAATGTATTTTTTGTTTTGGAGAGGAGTTCGAGAAGATTGCTTTTTCTCTTTTCAATTTGAGAAAGAGATCTGCCTACTATTTCAGTTTGTCCTCATTGTTTTGTTTCCCTTTTGAGACTGTGGGTTGTTTGGAGTTAGCATGTCATTTAGAGTGCCTGCAGAGGAGGGCCCTGGTTGGTCATCCTTCGGCATGTGTTTGTTATCAGACACATGCTTGTTATCAGGTACCTGTTTGTTGTTTTCATCATTCGACACATGTTCTGTGTCTTTTATATGCTTGTTGTTTTCCAAGTTTTTATTGTTGTTATGTGTTTCTCTTGAGATCAAAGAAGTTTTGAGAGTTTCTGTTTGATATTTTTGCTTATTTTCCACTTGGTTTGTCCAACTTGCAGTGCTATTCTCAAGTTCAAAACTTGTAAACTTGTTAACTATAGGCTTTACCGTAGAGGTTGTATTGGTCTTTGTTTTGTTGTCTTCACTGCCAAAGTTTTTTGTTTCCTGAAAGGAAAAAATCTTGTTTTTGTCTGAGTCCAGCTTAGTTTTCTTGTTTACATACAACTTGCTCATGGTTCAGTTTCTAGTTTGCATTTCTTGATATTGAGAACTTTCGCCCTGTTAGAGTTTGTAGAAGGTGCTGGTGTTTTTTCTAATAAAATTTTGTTTTTTTTTGTTTTACCAGTTGTGAACCAGAAAGAGTTTTTTTGTAAGTTAGAGATTTTTAATAAATTGTATTCTAATAATATCTTTAACACCAATTCAACATGTAAACAATGGATGGAATTTGCAAGATAGGTACACTTTACAATCTCTAAAACTTACTACAAATAGTTTAGAGAGCATTGTCATTATCTTTGGGCAAAAATATTACATATACATAATCAGCAAACAAAGGCTCAGAAAAAACCCCTAGAGCATTATGTTATTTCTAAGGCATTTCAACGAAACTCAAAAGAAAAGCTTAATCTTGCAGACAAAACAACAAAAAAAGTTATGTGTAGTATTAACCTTAGTGGATATAAACAGTGTTGTACATTGGATATTTTTTAGACATTTTAGACATTTTTTCAAATTAAAATTACTTAAAATTTTATTAAAATAATCTATTTTAATTTGTTTAAAAATAAATCTAGCATCTAAAAAAATATATAATTATATATTTATTAAATTAATTTATTAATTATTTAAACTTTGGACATAGGCTTGGACAGTTTTGGACAATCTTGGACATCGGACAAAAAACATAGTTTGGACACGTCCAATGTACAACACTGCCCAGACTCATTAACTCGGACCAAATTTTCCACGCCTTTCATCGGTGAAAATTATAGCCATAGTTGGATTTTTGAATCATCCATCAGTAGTCACCACTTTTACAACGTATCAGTATATACATATTCATATACGTGAGCATCGGTGTGTAGATTGTCGAAGTGATACTAAAAATGAAGACTCCGGCAGGAATTTATATATATTTTCTCTATGCCTTATGGCGCTTTTGATTTTTTAAATTTTTTATTGGAATGGTCGTCAAAATCATCCTAAATTTACATATGTTAATTACAGTAAGAAATAAAACTAAGCGAAAATATGTAAGTAACCGTATTAATTTATCCACCTAATTCAGAGTTCGTGAAATTTGCTTTTTGATCATATCTTCGTATATACGTATTATCTCATTAATCTCTTTATATTCTCTTTTCATTAATTGCTTTGTTTTTTATTTTTTTTCCTTTTATTCAAGTGAGTTTTTTTAACCTATTCACGCATCATTTTTTTTTTTTTTGTGTGTGTTTATTTAGCCGATAATCACTTCTTAAGTCTCTTATCATAGGTTAAAGTTGATTTAGCTAGTAAGTTTGTTGATCGAAGTATTTTATTTATAGACTAGTCTCTTTTCAAATATTGATCTAACTGGTAAGTAGAAGTTCATTAAATATTTTATTTCACATGCTGCATTCAAAGTTAAAATTATATGAAGCTTAATTTAACGAAACTTGCGCAAAATTACATAAATTATGAAAAACTTAAGAATTTTACCGATTTCAAATAAATATGAATACGATTAATCGAAAATACCGTTTGATAAATAGACAATCTAGAATTTCATATAGTAAATTTCCCGCATCATCATCGCAAAAATCATCTTTTGCAAAGCACTATAATTTGATTAACACTTATAAATGACTATCATAAAAACCTATTTACTGTAATTACTTCGAGTAATATATGTATGCAAATATGATAAGTTTAATGGTCGGAAAACTTTACGAACGGACGGTATAATTCATTTAATATTTATTTAGTCATCTTTAGGTATAAAATTGAGTTTAGACAATACTGTACACTGTATATTATCAAACTTAGTTAAATTGTTTTTAGGATACGTAACTTGATTAGTCTTAATTTGCTTCATAGAAAAATACAAAAACTAATTATTAAAGCCAATGCATGCGTTTACTGAACACAATGTTTTAGTATTACGAATTACTATATTTTAAAGTCAATAAATTATTGCTTTTGTAAAGATCTTTTGCTAATATTTGGTATTCTTTATAATTAAGTCGATTTTTATAAATTTTTAAATAAGTTAAAGTAGTGTTTTCACGGAGAGCTTCTACTAATATTTCTACGCTTTCATAATTAAGTTGATTAAAATTAAGATCTAAATATTTTAAAGATCTATTTTCACGAAGAACTTCTGCTAATACTAAAGAGGTGTTTTTGCAAGGAGCATCTGGCAGACTATTAGAAAGTCGTAAATCAATTAAAGAAGTGTTTTTGCAAAGAGCATCTGATAGCACTTTTACTCCTTCAAAAGTAAATTTATTACCACTAAGATTTAAGTAAGTCAAAACTTTGTTTTTACAAAGTGCTTCTGATAATGCTTTTATTCCATCAAAGGTAATTTGATTACGACTAAGATTTAAAGAAGTTAAATTAACATTTTTGTAAAGAGCTTCTGCCAATGCTTTCGCTCCCTCAGAACCAAGATGATTGTTACGAAGTGACAAGGAAATCAGAGTAGTGTTTTCACAAAGAGCTTTTGCTAATATCATACCGTCTTCAATTCCAAGATAACTACCATTGAGATTTAGAGAAGTTAAGGTAATGTTTCTACAAAGAACCTCCGCTATTACTTTAACTCCTTCGGTGCTAATATCGTTACTTCCTATACCCAGAGAGCTTAAAGTTTGGTTTCTGTAAAGAGATTCTACCATCACTTTTATTCCTTCAAAACCAAGCTTATTATCATTAATATTTAAAGTGGTTAGAGTAGTATTTCTGCAAAGAACTTCTGCCAATGCCTTGCCTTCTTTAAAGCCAAGTCCATTACAATCAAGATTTAAGGAAGTTAGAGTTATATTTTTATAAAGAGCTTCTGTAAGCAGTTTTACACTTTCAAAACCAAATCGATTATAACCAAGTTCTAAAGAGGTTATTGTGATATTTTTGTTAAGGACTTCTGCAAGTATTTTCGCTCCTTCATAACCAAGTTCATTATGGTTAAGATTTAAAGATGATAAAGTTGTATTCTTACAAAGAGCCTCTGCCAATATTTTTACTCTCTCAGAACCAAGCCCACAATTATTAAGACTTAATGAAATTAAACAAGCATTTTCACAAAGAACTTTTGCTAGTGCTTTTACTTTTTCAAAGCTAAAATCGATACGAGAAAGATCTAATAAAATAATAGTGGTGTTTTTATAATTAAGCAATAAATTTACTATTTTACCAGATTCCAATCTTTCAGTATTAAAAGACCACTCCTTAATTTTTTCACTTGTTCGTAATAACATTTTAATCAATGAAGATATGGCTGTTCGAACCTTCTTCTTGGATCTATTATATCTTCTTTCATATTCTAAAAAATTATGAGGCTCACGGCCTTCATCGCAAAGCCAGTTTATGATTCCTCTTTCTAAGTTATTGTATTTGATCGATATAGTATAAGAACTGTATTCAAATAATGGTTTTGGACCATTCGGAAGTGATATATTTAATGTAATTAATGGAGCTTTTTCTTCATCATTCAATGATAAAAGGTAAATCCTCATAAGTCTTCTATCGCCAAAACACGATAATGGTTGACCCCATAGCATAGGAACAACATTTCTACACCATTGACGGTTTACAAGAAGACATGAAAATAAAAATTTGTAATTTCTGATGTTGTTATTTCTAAAGTTATTAAATATTTCAGAAAGGCATTCGTTTGGTAATGCTATCATTTTGGAAAGCTTAAACAATATCTGATATTACATAGAATAGTTAAGCGGTTTAAGTAACTAAATGCTTGCTTTAAGTGATACAAAAGTGGCGTAATTTCTATGTACGTACGTATCAGATAGCTGCCGCAACAAAATTTTCACGGCAGATCCTCGATATTGATTGGCTAACGGCTGAGGATCTTCAAATTTTGGCCCGCATTACATAATTGTATACTAATTTCCGGCCGGAATTAACTTTTTGCTTTTTCATTACAGAAATAGAAATTTTTATAAAATAAGCCGTATTATGGTAAAAATTGGCCCAGGAACAATTTTCACTTAATGGGCAGCTGCGATTTCATTAGTAAAATTATGAATAATTCCGGTCTAATTTTTTGATCGTCGTTCTGCCGGGGTTAATGATTATATAAATGAGGTCCAATCCGTCATCCATTTATCCATATTCGTATAATTATTCGGATATCAATAGTAAAACGGATATCCGAATAAATTCAGATCCGGATATCCAATGGATAAACGGATAATGGATAGGAACTCTAATATAAATAGTGGATAATAATAAGATTAATTAGCTTCTATAAGATAAATAAATAAAAAAAAATGCATCACGAATAAGACTTTTAATAATCATAAGATAGTGTAAGTATATAATAAAGACGTTTCGCCCTAGAGTAGATGATCGTTCGTGATCATAATTGCTTCGTTACCCCCAACATTCACTGAATAAACCAAACGATCTACTACTAAGTGGCATAGTAGTACGATTATTCATTTGTAATTCTTAAGGAAGTTATTCTGTCCGGTTGTTTCTCGACGCACTGAGAGCCTCCGTGGTTGTTATTTTCCAACTGTCTTGACGTGCCGTAGATAGTTGTGGTTCTTCGCAGAAATAATGAATTATTATCTATTCAGATATTCATATAAGCAACTTTGTTCTAACAGTGAAAAAGCATTGTTACGTGCCTTTTGCAATGATAACACTTTAATTTATTAAATATTAAAGTTGTCAATTTGGTTTTAGAAACAAAAGAATTAGCAAAGATTCATACATGAAAACAGCACTCGTCACAGGTAAAAAAAATCAATTATTAACTAAATAATAACCAGCAATTTCTGGTACATATTATAACTTATTTCCTCTTATTTACTATATATTCACTAGATAATATATGCATTTAAACATATTAACTAAAAATATATGAATTACACAAATTATTTAGTAAATATATAGTAAATAAGTTATAATTTGCGCCAGAAATTACTAGTTATTATTTAGTTAATAATTGATTTTTTTACCAGTGCGTAATTTTAGCTGGAAAGGTGTTTTAAGTTGTTTTTACAAAAAGCAAACTTTAATTTCAGCCAGTTTCCTGAACTGTCTTTTTCAAAAACAGGCTTGGATAATGTAAATCAAGTGCCAGAATAAATATAATAATGATTTATTAATCAGATTATAAGTTATACAAAAATAATCTAGTAACCATATATTAAATCTGTGCTAATTTAGTCAATAGTTTATTGAATCGCTTTTAGAGTTTGGAACCTGTTTATTTTTCATAAGTTAAAACCGGTTTTAATCGGTTCTAACATACGTATGAAAAATAAAACCGGTTCCAAACTCTAATCGCTTTATATTTAACATCTTGTACAGGTTAATTTAACAATGAGATAAGCAATATAACTCATTAATTTCGCTGATTATTCAATAGGTTACTTCTTGTGTTGCATCTTGTCAAGTCGATTTAGCCATGAATGACATGAATATTATTAAACAAACTATTTAAAATAACCTACTCATCGCTCATTGGTTTCTAATCTGTACTGATTCAATTGGTAGGTCACTTTCATTTGTCTCTTATTTTTGATTTAACTATATATAACAAAAAGGTTTGAAATAATCTATTAATTTCTCATTAATTTCTTATGCATAGTTATTTCGAAGTCTCATCTAATCTAGGAATATCCCTGCACTACGACACCACGGCTAAGTATAAACTGATAACTAAATATAGTAAAAATATGATGTTTATTAAAAAATAAAGAATACACAGATAAAAATAGGTATTGTGATACGAATTGAAATAGAAATAAATAACATAATGTGATAATATGACAAAATGTTAGAAACGCCAATGTTGTCATGGGTTGGTAGTACCAAAATGCCGCAGTGTTGGTCACCCCAGTAATTCGAATAGGAATTATACTTATACGACTGAAATCTATAAGTCCAAGTTCCAACTTATAGATCCAGTGGTCCAATTTCCTTATAGTACACTGCAACATTCTCTAGATCATTTTACATATAATCTCTCATTCAATTCAGTGAATTATTAATAATAATAATTAACTATTTCTGTATTTGGTCGAGTTATTGACTAAAAACTACTTAATAATGTGAGCGCGGTAAATCAATCAAAAAAAAAGTATTACCTAATTTTTTATATTGATGAATATAAAAATACATTCAAAAATAAATTATCTACGTGTTGGAATAGCTTCTTCATTCAGAATCAAAAATATCTACATTTTGAAGTAGTTCTTCGTTATTTATGGATATATTTGTCATTATTCTCTATTTAATTTTTCAGAAATTTGAATTTTTAATGTTTGATTTCATTATGATTTTTTGTGATGAAGGAGAAATTTTTAACAGTATTGAAATTTTCAATGATAAATAATATAAATAGGGACAGGTATTTCTACACCCGATTTTAGTATTTCACACCCTTTGATAATGTGCATACGTATTAAAAAAACTATAAATATTTTATTAACGTTAACGAAGTTGTATTATAGCTACTCAATTTTGAAATACCTGTTCCCTATAAATAACTACTATTGATTTTTTTATTATTAACACAAAAATTAATGCAGACATCATAAACATCTATTAATCAAACTATTTAAATATGTTATTTTAAATTTGTGGATATTTATTACGTTTTATTTTATTTCATTCATATTAGCGATTACAGTAGATATGCATATAGTTTGCACATGCTAATTTTTTAGGATCAAAATTAACGTTTCATTAACAGTAAGTATTTGTTAAATTCGGAATTATTTAAAATAATTATACTTAATAAGATTGGTGGTATTTCGTGCCACCCAAAGTACTAGTATTGTTATAATTACTGAGATGGGGGAACCCGAAATTCTTGATTTTCGGAATTTCACCTTTTTTCGAAAAACTAACAATTCCAGATTTCACTCATACGTATCATTAAAAACAAGAAATTATACAAGATGTATTGACAGCCTTATTCGGAAATTAAAAATAATATAGCGATTGTACGGCCCTACGTACGTACGTATTTGTTGCACGGATCACTCTAAAAAGGCATTGAAGATCTATATATGTAATTATTGTTAAGTACGTACGTACGTACGTATAATCATGACAATGGGTATAACAATGGTAGTATTGAGCTTCTGTACGGATTTAAAAATGTGCCAAGCCACAAAAATACGTATTTTGTGTATACGTGCGTATATACGTGTGTAAGTTATATTTTATCATCCAAAATTATATATATATTGAAATATTTTCAATTATTCTCGAATCTACAAGACATCAATGATGATTCCACGTCAAAAAAAGCAACCATCATTTTGTGATGAATATGTTCAGACTTTTTCATTAAATACAATTCGATGGACAATATTCTTTAATTATATAATTGCACTTATAATTTTTATTCTTTTTAACATCTATGGTATGTATCAGCATATACTTTTATTACTATTATCTAATTTTATTTTGGAAATTAATTTTAATTGTATATATGCAGATAATCCTGCAGGAAAAATATTGTCCGAGCAAGTCAATAACAATACAGCACAATGTCTTTCATATGGTTATGATTGGTAAGAATTTAATAGATTATTTTTCACGTCGTTAACTTATTTGATTTGTTGAACGCATAAATTTGGCATGTCATAAAGTATATATGTATTGTCAAGAGGCATGACAAATGGAAAACAGTAAAATTACTGTTTTGTGTAATTTTTCTTATTAAATTACATATTATTCAATTAATCATTATCAAGTACTAATTAATATATTATCTTTTTATAGTAAATTACAATTATTTGGTTATATTTGTTGGTATACGTATGCCATTTTTTTCGCAATAACTCTAATGTGCACTAGTCACATCATTGTCCGCTTTCATTGGGAATGGCAACATTTAAGATTTTTGTTTATACTTGACATGTAATTATTTTATTAAATTTGCTTAAATTATATTCTATTAAATAATATCTTAATTTCTATATTTCTTTATTATAGAATTCTGGCTTGTTTAAATATTCCATTTAATTATCCATACTTAAAAAACCAAGTCATGGGCCCTGATAATATAATAATCTCATGCATTGACGAATTTTTAGATTCATGGAAATATAATTGGTGTTCTCTTCATCAAAAACTTATCGTATTAGCATGGTCATCTTTGTTTGTGTGGTTTACCAAATATCTGTTTTATTTATTCTTTATATTGATAATTTTAAGTAAAAGAGTTTATAGGTTTTTAAAATTATGGACTGTTTATCAATATCAATATAGGAAAGGTTTGTTCTTAACTTGGTTAAAAGAACGAAAAGAAAAAATAAGGAAAAAAAATGAAGTAGCTCCTTACAATATGAATTCTAAAAATGACGTAATTAATAACGATGTAAAAGAAATTAAAATAGTTATCACAGGTTAAATTATATTTATCGAGGTATACATATTTATATATAATATATTATGGAGATGTATATTAGAATGTTATAAGAACATCGGTAGATCTTATATATAGAATATTATATTTAAAATTATTTTTTACTAGAAAGTTTATAAAGTATTAAAAAATTTAAAATCTAATAAAATCTTAAAGATTTTTAAAATTCAAATATGGTTTGCACTTTTTAAGTGCATGTTCTCTAAATGTCAAAGTTTTATTAAGTTCTTACTAAATGCCAAACCAATCTTGTTTCTTAGGTAATTAGATTAATATAAAAATTTTAAAATTCAAAATTTTTTTAATACAAAGCTTTTTATTTTAGGTGAAAAATTTTATACCTGGCAAAGATATCTTTAAGAAAAATTATCTACATTTATAAAATTTTGAAAAATATTTTGATAAAAATTTGAATTTTTATAGATAAAAAATAAATAATTTCTAGCACGTATATGCAACTTATGTATAAATTATTTAATTAATTGACAAAAAATATATATATAATTTTTATAAATAAAAAAATTTATATCTTAAGAGGATATGCAACTTATGCTTAAGTATTAATTAATAAAATACATTTCTTTAAACACTGCATATAATATTACTTTTATAAATAAATAATATCACAATTCATAGCATGACGGAAGATCGATTTATGCATTGATGTTACACGAGATTTTACATATCAAAAACATACG